ACACACACACACACACACACACACACACACACACACACACACACACACACACACACACACACACACACACACGTACGCACACACCACACGTACGCACATGCACATGCACACGCACACACACACACCTACTTGCACTTGCACACACAAACACACATGCCCAAATGCCGGCATGCACACACATATTTTTTTTTTATGGGGGAAGATTTTATTTTTTTAATAATAAACCATGTTACAAAATTGGCAGGCTAGGGGGTAATCATTTTTTGTAAGGCATAATGGATGGTAAAGAAATCCAAGTGTGTGTGTGTGTGTGTGTGTGTGTGTGTGTGTGTGTGTGTGTGTGTTGTGTGTGTGTGTGTGTGTGTGAGTAAGTGAGTGAGTGAGTGAGTGAGTGAAGTGAGTGAGTGAGTGTGTGTGTGTGTGTGTGTGTGTGTGTGTGTGTGTGTGTGTGTGTGTGTGTGTGTGTGTGTGTGTGTGTGTGTGTGTGTGTGTGTGTGTGTGTGTGAGTGAGTGAGTGAGTGAGTGAGTGAGTGAGTGAGTGAGTGAGTGAGTGAGTGAGTGAGTGAGTGAGTGAGTGAGTGTGTGACTGAGTGAGTGAGTGAGTGAGTGAGTGAGTGAATGAGTGAGTGAATGAGTGACTGAGTGTGACTGTAAGTGTGAGTGTGAGCATGTGAGTGTGTGTTTATATGGATGTGTGTACAAGTGACTGAAAAAACAACACTTACAATTAATAAGTACACAACAGTGCACAACTGCAACTATTTTGCCTCTCGTCAACCATGAAAGCTTCTCTGCCTTGAAATGTGAGAAATAAAATTTAAAGAAAGTCCAGTACAAGAAGGGAGAAACAGCAGGAATTAAGCCACACACTTATGGCAACTTTCCCATCTTCTTTACAAAACGCATACTCCACTCTAGTAGCATACTTCAATTAACGTAACAACATAATCTCAACATATATCACAACGTACTATTAGCTATAATACCTTTTCAAAGTTCAAAAACACAAACTACAGTAGAAGTGAAAACTTTTAAGCACATTTCATGTAATATCTAAAATTCATGGAAGAAATTGGTTACCTATTTTGCTAGAATATGTACATAGAAATCTGTAGCTGGTGATTCCTGCTCCTTGCCTTATAGACAAATATATAAAAGAGCAGGTTAATGATTGCATGGTAGATTTTGAAGGTTTGGTCCAGCAAATCAGCTTATAAGTTTTGGATTTTGATGAAATGTTTACTGCATAATCATGATACCTTTTCCCTTTCTTAGGTATCAACAGAGGATGTACGATTTAACATGAAAAAGATACAACATGAAAATGTTGCTTTGTATTAAAACAATGAAATACATAGAAAAGTTTTTGCAGCCTAAAGGGAATACAACAAAGTAATAAATTCTCCATTTCAAAGCCATTTAAAGGTTGGTCTGCACTTTCATCATAACAGTTTATACATTTCAACATGGAGTGCTTAAAGTTCTCAATTTAATTGTTCACAGACAAAAAGTAGTCCTGTAACAAAATACATGTCTGAAAGCATATATAAGAAAATGGAGCAATTGTATTGCCTACAATATTGAAAAATTTATGAGAAACATACCAAATGCCAGCTTGATATAGCATCTTACAGGTCTAAATGTCAGAAGCACGTATCTGAAACATTCAAACTGACACAAAAAAATCAAGTATCGTATTGAACCATAAAATTGGGAGACTCCCTTGCCTTTAAGAAAGAATGTAAACATATCCACTGTATGTACATATACCCTTGTCCATACATAAATTAACAACAACATACTTATAAAATAAAAAAGGACATTTCTTTTAAATTGATGATAAAAACAATAGCTTTCATATTACAATAATAATAAATAATAATAATAATAATAATAATAATAATAATAATAATAATAATAATATAAAAAATCTGTGTGTTGACTGAAATGCTATATCTGTGTAATATCTCACAGATGTCTACAGCATTCACACATTACCCTTCATCCTTTTTCCTTAAAATAATTTGAAGCTTTATGTCTCTAATAAATGCTTCTTTCTTTCACTGCTCTGTTCTAATTCTCGCATACCACAACATGCTTAACACTTCCAACTTTAGCGTCTGAAGCGAGATATGGCCACAGCAAGTATTAGTGCAGCAGCGGCACATGTCACAAACACAGCAAGGGATGATAATAAGTTTGGATTAGAGTCAGAGTCCCTTTTACGCTGCTTCTCACCATTTTCAGGTGGCTGGAGAGGTCGTCTAGGGAAGCAGCAAACAGTATGGTTTGTTTTTTCCGTAAAGTTGAGCTCTGGGAAAGAGGGCACAGAGGAAATATGAGATTGCTAGTTAGCATAAACTACATTACACTCACATACAACCACACCTGCACACACACAAAAACAGACAATTTATTAATCTATCTATATATCATCTATATCTATTCATCTATATATTTGTACTTATGCATGTGCACATACATAGTTCTATACCTATATGTCCATATCTATCTATATCTATATCAAGAAAATATAAATCTATATAACTTTAAATAAATACAATAATATATATATACCTATAAATTATCTCTATCACTACTAAATCTATGCATCTATCTATTTATCATCTATCTATATACATACATCATATTATATATATGTATAATAATTTATGTAGGACTGCTGACAGGGGTAGCTGCATAGCTGCTTATCTGAGCCCAAGAACAGCTAACACGGCACATTTAAAGGGTGTATTTATACTATAACCTATTTGAAGAAGGTATTTCCCACCTAAAAATGAGTGTGCCTGAGGGCCCGGCTATGTATATATTACTTTTACTTCTCATTTATAGTTGTATGAAATCTCATCCAGTCTGAGCAGAACTTCAGAAGGACTAATTCACCCTCACCAACTTTCAGAGGGAATTCCATACTTACCAAAACTAATCTCTTCTCTGCAGTGGTAATACGCTCCTTGTCCTTTGGTTTATTCATGCTGAGGAGCTGGAGGCCAAACACATACTGACAGCCAAAGTGAGTATCTTGGTGCTGCTGGTAACTCGAAGGATCAAATTTCCGTGGGAAATGCTGGAGGGTAATAGGTGTCTGTTAGTCAGTTAAATCATAAAGTGAATTGAATTAACTAATCTACCATAATATGTCATCATTTCTGGTTATCAAATTAAGATGATAAACACATGAAAATCATATACAGAAAATGGAAAGCAGTCTTGCAATAAACCTCAATAGATTTTTTGTATCTGTGAGAGAGAGAGGGAATATGACAGAAAGAGAGAGGGAACATCAGAGAACAAGAGAGATAGTGAGAGGAGAGAGAGAGAAGAGAGAGAGAGAGAGAGAGAGAAGAGAGAGAGAGAAGAGAGAGAGAGAGAGAGAGAGAGAGAGAGAGAGAGAGAGAGAGAGAGAGAGAGAGAGAGAGAGAGAGAGAGAGAGAGAGAGAGAGAGAGAGAGAGAGAGAGAGAGAGAGAGAGAGAGAGAGAGAGAGAGAGATTAAAGATTAAAGATTAAGTTCTAATTCCATTTGTTACAATGGATATTCTTTGCTGTGACATGAGAGAGAAAGAGAGAGAGAGAGAGAGAGAGAGAGAGAGAGAGAGAGAGAGAGAGAGAGAGAGAGAGAGAGAGAGAGAGAGAGAGAGAGAGAGAGAGAAGAGAGAGAGAGAGATGAGAGAGAGAGAGAGAGAGAGAGAGAGAGAGAGAAGAGAGAGAGAGAAGAGAGAGAGAGAGAGAGAGAGAGAGAGAGAGAGAGAGAGAGGAGAGAGGAGAGAGAGAGAAAGAGAGAGAGAGAGAGAGAGAGAGAGAGAGAGAGAGAGAGAGAGAGAGAGAGAGAGAGAGAGAGAGAGAAGAGAGAAGAGAGAGAGAGAGAGAGAGAAGAGAGAAGAGAGAGAAAGAGAGAGAGAGAGAGAGAGAGAGAAGAGAGAGAGAGAGAGAGAGAGAGAGAGAGAGAGAGAGAGAGAGAGAGAGAAGAGAGAGAGAGAGAGGAGAGAAGAGAAAGAGAAAGAAAGAAAAGAAAGAAGAAAGAAGAGAAGAAAGAAAGAAAGAAAGAAAAAGAGAAGAGAGAAGAAAGAGAGAGAAAGAGAGAAAGAGAAAGAGAAAGAAAGAAAGAAGAGAGAGAGAGAAAGAAAGAGAAAGAAGAGAGAGAAAGAAAGAGAGAGAAAGAGAGAAGAGAGAAAGAAAGAGAGAAAAAAAAGAGAGAAAAGAAAAGAGAGAGAGAGAAGACAGTGAAAGACAAAAAGAAAAAGAGAATTGCTTGAAGGAACCACAAACTTCACCTTGCCCTTTCTGTGAGGTGCCTTGGACGTCTTTGCGATGGTGAGATGAGGATTGAGGTCTTTCACATCGGGCATGCAAACTCCCATGCTAGAGAAAACTTGCCGTACTTCTGTAGCTAAGGTCAACAGCCTATGGTAATGCTCGTCTTCTACCAATTTGGCATACACAACCTGAAAAGATTATCAATTCATAAGCAAAATCAAATGCATATGTATTTATATGAAATGCTACAACAGACCTGAAATCTGAAATAGATCCATTTCAGATTTTACTCTTAGAACTCATGTCATGATCTTATTTTGATTTTCTCGTGGCAGTGTACATAGGTTACAGTGTTCGTATTGAAATAATTTCTTGCTTTATTTATGATGAACCAAATAATTCTGATTAATGAAAATTACTGATATCAAAGCAATTCATGTATGCAGACTCATATGCAAATGCATTTGCATGTACATGTGCAAATGTATATCTACATATGCATGTAAATGCATGTTTGTGTTTGTGTTAAATATTTATCCCATTATCTCAAGCTTATTTTATGATCTTGATAGCTTTTTAAAGATAAAGAAAGAAAACCTCAAATGGGATACAAAGAAGTCATAACAGAGCTTTCATTCTTTGCATTTCATATTAACCTATTGCTGATGGGTATACAGTGAACCCTCGTTTTTCGCGGGGGTTACATTCCAAAAAGAACCCGTGA